TTCCCTTGTGTGGATTAGAAGCTTATAATTTGTGATTAACTGAGATAAGGCATGAATTTCAGCATTTCTTGCCTTTAAGTTTAAATAAGTAGATAATCTTGTTCTATACTATGTATACTAGCTCAAATTAGGAAGCTTTCCTACATTTGATTTCACAAGAATGAGAATTCAGCCACATTTTAGTCTCTTCATGTGGTTATCTGTTCAGTCATCTGCCTTTTGTTTAATTTTGTGTGTTGGCTTGGTTTTCTTTTAGATAATGTTTGGTACATGATGATTACTCTAAAAACCATACTAATTTACACATAGTGATTAGATCATTGTGTTTTATAAACATTTAATGATCTTACGTGATAGTGATCTTAGATCACATTGAGTAATTATATTATTATCTTAAAGTGTGATCTAACTTTCATACAAAAGGATAAAAAAATTTTATCATCAAGATGAAATGTTATATAAAATTAATATAATCAATTTTACTCATTTAATATATGAATTAAAATTTTATTGTATTTTAAAATTGTAATTATTTTATATTGTAAGTTTTTATATTTTCAAACTAATATTTATTATAACAAGTTGAAAAATAATTTATATTTTTTTTTAATATTTTATATTTGAGGTATTTTTTTTTTTTCTTTTATTATGGATTTAATTGATTGGTTTTATTTTCTAAATCAATTTTTTTTACATAATTATATATGAAAATCAATTATCTATCAATAAAATATATTATTAATATAGTATTCAATTATATTTTTATAAAAAAAATAAATATATATAATTATTATCTTAAAGTACTTCAATTATTAATTAATAACTATGAGAATAAGCATGGTTATTTAGTACAGTTTAAATAAAATAATATTTGATGTTTTAGTAAAATAATGAATAATAATTGATTTTTAGTAAAATCAAATCCAATATCTTTAATTTCTAGAATTAATGATTGTTTAATAAAAAAAATGGATTTCAAATGACCAATTATTATTCTTAATTAATATTTTAATTACTAATATTTTGCAAATTATTATCCTTAAACAACCTTAAAATTATTAATTTATATAAATATTATAATATGCATAATTATTTTCATATTTTTAAACAAAATGATATTTAATTTTTAATAATATCAAACTCAATGATCTTTAATTCTTAAAAATTAATGATTATTAATCAAATAAAATGATTTCAAATCATCTGAGTGCTAAAATTGTTTTAATAATAAGATCATTCCAATGATTATATTACCATAATGATATTCTAAAAAATATCAAACGTTGGTTTAAGAATGTTGACAACAATAAAGTTTTAGTGAAAAAAAGAAGATAAGATTATGACCCAATATCTTTGCAAGTTGCAGGGTTGTCCTTGAATTACTGGTTTATTGTTAATATAGGGTTATAAACTTGAGGGCTTCTAAATACAATCCACATTTTGCTTTTCATATATAAAACAAAATTTTTTTAAAATATATATATGAAACAAAAAATTTTAAATAATATATTTAAAATTTTTTGTTTCATATATATATTTAAAATTTTTTGTAAATAAAATCACTTAATTATCTTTTCAATAAATTTTTGAATATCTATATCCGATAAATTTTATAACTTACTAAAAATAAATTCAAGTAAATTTTATAATTTACCAAAAATAGATTTTCGAAATATTATATAAAACTTTTTGAAAATTTATTTCTATAGAGAAAACTTATAAAAATTTTAAGGAAATTTATAGGCAAAAAAGATTTTATTAAAGATTTTTATTAATTGATGTAATAAAAAATTATTATTTAAAGAATAATAAATTTTAAAATTAATAAGAAAAAAGTTAATTTTATTATTTTAAACTTAAAAAATGAATAAAATTTTATGAGATATTAACTAAACTTTTTATCTTCCGATATTATGAAAGATGAAGAATAAATTATCAAATCTAATCAACATCTAAGAGTTGAGACTTCTTGAAACTGTACAAGTAATATTACTAAATATTACATAATTTTGTCAAAATTTTAATATGTTAATTAAAAAAACTCATCATGATAAATAAATTTAAAGAATTTTCTAAAGAGTTCAATTTAGTTAAAACTATTATAAAATTTTAATAATCGATGCCAATAAAAAATATTTATTAAAAAATAATAAATTTTGAATTTATAAAAAAATTACATTTATTATTTTATCCTTAATTTATTTAAAATAAGATTTTATTTTATTTAAGGTCAAAATAATATAATTACTTTTTTTATTAATTTTGAAATTTATGATTTTTTAGTAATAATTTTTTAATACACCAATTGATAAAATTTTTCTTTTTCGTAATTTTTCTTAAAACTCTAATTTTCAACTTTTTAAAAATGAATTTAAGGAAAATTTTATAACTTATAAAAAACTCCTATCAGGATAATTTGTGAGAAGTATAATTAAATAATTTTATTTACAAAAAAATTTTTTAAAAAATGTGATGTAAAGAGAAAAAGTGGAAATAAGTGAAATGTATTTAAAAGTTTCTTCAAACTTTTCGCCATGGGCTACGTTCGTGTTGATGCCGCTAGATTACATTTACCAGATATGAACACGAAACTCAGTGCACCGCCGACGCGGAGGAATCCCTTTCCTAGTTATGATAGAAGCAAGATACGGGATCTATAAATATGGGTAAATAGTTTAACCAAGGCAAAAGTCATTATAGTCGAAAAAAGAAAAAAGATGGCTGGCAAGAAATCTGTGATTGTTAAACAAGTTTTTGCAGAAAATTTGGAAAGTGAGTTTGCGATAATTCAGAGTGCAATTCTGGAGTATCCTGTTTTCTTCATGGATACCGAATTTGCAGGTACGATTTTCAATCCTTATAAACGAGTCATCCAGGAAGCCAATCCTATAATCAACTATCAGTAAAGATTATTCAACTTGACTTAACCCTTGCTGATTCTGAAGGTAATCTGTCAGATTTTGGTATTCTTTTTTGTTATATATGGCAGTTTAATTTTAAAGATTTTGATATGAAAAAAGATCGTTATGTTAAAGAGTCCCATTGAGTTACTTAAACAATAAAATATTAATTTCGTCAAAAATAAAGAGAATGGTATTGATTCTAAAGATTTTTCAATGATGATTTGAAATTTTGGATTGTTCAATTATTTTGAAAAGTTGAACTAAATCACCTTTCATGACGCTTATGATTTTAGGTTTTTAATGAAAATTTTGACTCAAAAACTACAACCACCTGAGTTTAAGTCTTTCATGAGACAATTGATTTCTTTCTTTGGTTACAAGATTTTCGACATCAAGCACCCCTTCAAATTCTTTGGCCTAGAAAAAGTGGCTAAAATCTTAAAATGTGGATTGTGTTGTTGGTTTGAGCCACCAAGCAAGGTCGGACAGTCTGTTCACCCTTCAGTGTTTTTGTCCACCAATTTATTTTATTTAGATTAAAAATAAAAAATAAATTTAATAAATAACAATTTTAATGTAAAAACCAATTTTATTTAATAGAAATATGTGAAATAATTATAATATATTATATATTATATATAGTATATATTAAAATAATTTAAAAACTTTGGGGAGGTCAAGGCCCATGTAGCTCTAATATCCGTTTACCATTGATTACTTACACCATTCGAGGAAATTTTTTAATTGGATTTCAAATAAATAATGTGATTATTATTAATTTCATTATTCACTCGTTACAATTTAAATTGTTCAAAAAAAAAAATCTTTGACAAAATTTATATTACTTTTATTTTGTTGGCAATGCTTGTTGTACCAACGTTGCATTTGCGAGAAGCAATGACAAAAATGATAACACCTGAGCAATTTTACCTACTGCAATTTCTTCTGATCTGGAATAAACACACAGATCCAATTTTGGAAATTTCCAACAATTCTCATAAAATGTAATTCTTCATGGTTTAAAGAATAATGCTAATAGAAGTTGACTTAAGTAATTAAAATTTAAAATCTGAATGTAAAATAGTCAGATTCGAATATCCATAATTTTTTATTGGTAGGTGATTTATAAAATAAAAAAATTTTCATCAAAAAAAATTCGTAAATTTTTTTTATAAATTAACGATTTATTCTGATATTGAAGATGGGATAATTGCATCTACTCGTACACTTAATCCAAAAAAAAAAAAATTAGGAATAAATCAAACTTTTAAACTAGTTGTTAAAACCAAGCAAAAGCTGGTTACTAGACAAATCCATTAGGTAGCAAGTTTACATTAGACATTCACGTTCAACCTGGTTAAGTGTTTGAACATAAATGACATACCTCGACGGGTCGGGTTAAATTGTGTTCTACGTAAAGGGCTTATTATTGGGCAGTGTCACTGAAAAAGGTAGTTGAACAAAAAAAATTGAAAATTGTTATTCAACTCGGATTTTTAACCTAATGTTGTGTCGTTCAAATGTTAAAAAATCCTGTTGTTGTCGGAGAATCTTTGTTCCAAATTGAGGAACTTAATCACCAAGAGATATGCTTTAGTTTCTCATTTCGTCATGATTTGCTCTTTCTTATTCTTTTGAATTTTTTTGGTAAAAAGAAAGTAATAATTGAAAAATAAAAAATATTAAAAATTATATTTTAAAAATTAATTGCATGAAATAATTAAATTAAATTTTAAATTTTATTCAAATGATATTCACAGTGCTTAAATTCAATTTCCATTATTAATAATTTGTTTGAAAAACAATATATAAATTCAATATAGATTCTCAAAAGCTTTGGTACAATGAAAGGGACTCTGGCCAAAACGAAAAGCTTTGGTCGTGTGAGGTTATATTAGTCATTTTAAACTACAAGAAGAGCAAGTGGAGTAGCCACGATGGTGGCATTCTCGTAATAAACCCGCATACGCAAACCCAATATGGTTAAAACACAGTATCTCCTGTCTTCCTCAAGCTTTGCCTTTTTTTTTCCTTTGTATCCGTTGAAACTCTTCTTTTCTCTCCTTAAAGCACCCATAACTTTTCCCACTCTTCCAGCCCTCGAAATCTTTCTCTTAACATTTTCTGTCGCTTTCTCGAGAAAATTCCATCCCTCACCCGAACCAATGCCGGACACCGGCGAAACCGACGACAACAACAAAAACAACTCTATAATTCACATTCTTTCATCAAAAACACCGTTGTTCAACCTTAAACTCTACTTAGTAATCTCAATCCTCGTAGTCTTCATACTCGTGTTTTCTTTCACAATCTTCCTATGTTTTCGTTTAAACAGAAACTCGCGCAAGCAGAAAGTTAAGCATAGCTCAAGACTAATTCCGTTGGTCTCCAAAGAGATCGTGGAGATCAAGTCCTTGGATCATAATGTAGATTGCTTTACCGACGAGGGTAAGATCGGAAATGTGGTTCCCAAGAAGAGTAGCGAAGGAGTTAGCGATGACGCCTCGGGAGCCAGTGACGTGTCGGTGGATATTCAGAATATCGGGTGGGGTCGGTGGTATTGCATGAAGGAGCTCGAGATGGCAACGCGTGGATTCGCCGAGGAGAATGTGATCGGTGAAGGCGGATACGGTGTCGTATTCAGAGGCATTTTGCAAGACGGTTCTGTCGCTGCTGTAAAAAATCTGCTTAATAACAAGTACGCAAAATGAACTTCTTATATTCAGTATTCACTTCTCAGATAGTGCTTTACTCTGTTTGTTTCTAGAGAAAAGACAAGGCAGTTTCCGTGAAAATCTTTCTCTTAGTTATTTTATTTATGCATGCTAGATCCGATCCAAGACAGACTGTTAAAGATTATGTTCATGTTCTTTTAATTGCTGTTTTGACTTCAATATGTTTCTTTTAAATTGTGTCCAACATTGTAACTTATCTACAATCTGGCTTTGAATTGCTTTTGTGATGGTAAGTAAAATAAATTGCATGTCTTTGTTGCGTGTCCCAGTACTAGGAAAAGTAAAAATGGTTACTTTGTTCTTTATTACTTTGGTGTTCCTTTATTTTAATATTAAAATAAGAAATTGCTGTTACATTTTTACAGGGGCCAAGCAGAGAAGGAGTTCAGCGTGGAAGTTGAAGCCATTGGCAAAGTGAGGCATAAGAACTTGGTGGGTCTAGTTGGGTACTGCATCGAAGGTGCTCAAAGGTAAATTTTGTATATGCCACTTGACTGACAAACCCTTATATATTTAAATGGAAATGAACTGGCTACACTAATTTACTATTTATTCAGGATGCTTGTGTATGAATACGTTGACAATGGGAACTTGGAGCAATGGTTGCATGGTGATATAGGGCCCGATAGCCCTCTTACGTGGGATATAAGAATGAAGATTGCAATAGGAACGGCAAAAGGGTGGGGAGTTTCCTCTTTAACTTTCTTTTTTCCCCCCAGTCTCATCTCATGAAGCCTTATTTATCTTGCCTCTACTTGAATGTTGAAGAGTGAGCAGAGTATTTATGGCTTTCAAAATGCTCTGTGTGACGCTAAATCAATTTAACGTCTTTTTCAGCTTATTGTAGAGCACAAGAAAAAAAGAATTTTACATGTGAAGTTGCATACCATATTAAGTAGCATTAATTGTGTCATTTTGTGTTCCTAGAAGTCTATTCTCACATTAGTCACTTATTATCCTTAATTATAGGATCATATCAAGTGAGAAGAACAAAACTGAAAATTGAAAAATGCTATAAAATCCCTGCCATGAATGCTCGGGATATATCGTCTTATGGTAAAGGTTTATATCAAAACCTTTTATTAGTCTCTAATGTCAAAGTGGCATTTAGTTCTGTATTGATTTTATTTCTGAGTTTTCTGCTAAGATGGATAGCTTCATATGTGTGTGACTGTGTGTGTTTTTTAACTTCTGCTGGCAGTAGGTTTAGCTATTGTCATACTTCTATCCTCTTTCCCTCCATTACATCAATATGTTTCTTGCTTCTTTTGCAGGTTAACCTATTTGCATGAAGGGCTAGAACCTAAAGTTGTGCATCGCGATGTAAAATCAAGTAATATTCTTCTGGATAAAAAGTGGAATCCAAAAGTATCAGATTTTGGATTAGCCAAGCTCCTAGGATCTGAAAAAAGCTATGTGACTACACGTGTAATGGGGACATTTGGGTTTGTTCTCTTTTGTGATCCCATGTCTATATTTTCGCAGATGGAAATATACTTATACCCTACATCATTGGTTCTTATTGTGGTATATTTGTTTTTCTCTTCAGTTATGTATCCCCGGAATATGCAAGCACAGGAATGCTTAATGAGGGAAGTGATGTCTATAGTTTTGGTGTTCTACTCATGGAGATAATTACAGGGAGAAGCCCAATTGATTATTCGAGGCCACCTGGAGAGGTAAAAGCAGTGTTTCTCTTGCAATACCTTCATTGAATGCCAAAATACCGGAATAATACCTTTTCTGTTTGATGTATCACAGATGAACTTAGTTGATTGGTTCAAAGGCATGGTAGCAAGTCGTCGTGGAGACGAGCTTTTGGACCCATTGATAGAAGTTCAGCCCTCACCTAGAGCTTTGAAACGAGCATTACTTGTTTGTCTCCGCTGTGTTGATTTGGATGCTAATAAGCGCCCAAAAATGGGGCAGATTGTTCATATGCTTGAGGCAGATGATTTTCCTTTCCGCTTTGTAAGCCCTTCTGTCACATGCTTTCTGCATTGCCTTATAATTAGTCATCGAGTATTAAAAACCTGCCATAACCTTTATTGTAATGGTTTATCGTTAATTTTATTTTAATTTCAAGATTTGATTGGTGCTGTTGGTTAAGAAAAGCAAATATCCACGAACTTTTCATGAAGGGAAGTTTGATTTTATGAATGTCAATGGCCAATGTTTTCTTCCTCAAGAATGAGTTTCTAATAAAGGTAGCCATTTGGTCTCAGTTGAGTTTTAGATGTCGGAACTCTTTTATCACACTGATAACACATATTGAGTCCTCGGTACATGTACTTTTTTATTACTGCTTGTGCATGGTTTCATGCTGTTTATAAATAAGTAGCTTTATGCACACGGAGCACTTAGGACAGCTGGTGTGCCTGGGGCCAACAGTTGCGGCTAGTTAATACGTTTATAGAAACCCTTAAAACATACTGCTTTGGTAATCGAATTGTTAATATATCCAAAAGTTCATTGCCCATCTATATTTCTTTGAGACTTCTTGATAACATACTGATTCTTTCTTTCCCTGCTTTCAGCAGTTTCGATTAGTTACCTGTTCCTTTTTTCTGCAGGAGCATCGGCTGGCACGAGAGAGAGACACTGTTCCATCCTCTGTGCCAATTTCCACGAAAGTTGCACATCGAAAGCACATTGAGAAAGTTGATGTAGAGAAATCGAGATGGAGATAATTGTTGTTTGTTTACAGTTCCTGAGGTCAGATTATGTTGTAGAACAAGTTTTCCATTAGTTCACATGAAAAGATTACACACCTTCGATGTGCATACATGCATATATAATTTTTCTTACTTGGATAATTTTTGCTGATACACTTGAGGCCTTGTAAATATGTAATTGCTTTTTCATATTGATATTATGCATGTCTGTTTAAGGATGTCAATCCTCTCTATTCCCACATTAATGAGACATTGATATACTTGGTGTCTGCCAATGACTTAAAAAAACAATTGAAACTTGTGAATTCATTTTTGAATTCATTTATGTCATATCACTGTTAAAGAGACCAAAATAATGTCAATCAAAAAGAAGCACGATTTTGCCAAACCTGAAATGCACTGTCTCGTTAAATAAACAGCTATACTCTTCGTCATCAAACCGATGCCATTGCTATCCATGATTGTTCTGTCAAATTGCCTCACCCCTTGGCCCTGACATCCTTTTTCCTTATATCTCTCAGCTTGAATACCAAAAGAAAACAAGATAAAATAAACTGCTTCATATATTTCTCACCAACAATAGAAATATACAATAAAGATTTAGATTGGATACACTATCAATAAATCAAATGATGATACTTCATTAATAAAGTGAATTAGATTATAAGTAAATTTTTTAAAAAATATTAATTTTTATATTTTTATTTTAATGATTGATATTTTTACTCATTAATAAAATATCATCATGTGATTTATTGTATAAAATTTATATACTACCAATGTGTTAAATAAAAAATCATAAAATAAAGGCATAAGGAGAACCGAAGAAGATTCATATAATCTTTTGCAAATTTGCAGCTTCTACTGAAATGAAACATTTGCCTCGTATATAATTGCTGGGTGGGCAAAAATTTATCCCTTCATGGGTAATAACATATCAAAAAAAATCCTAAAGAACAATTCTTTGTTTTTTATTATTTATTTTTATAAAAAATAAAAAAACAAAAAACAAAATATCAACCACGCAGAACATTTTTGAAACAAAAAAAAAAAAAAAACCAAACAGAACTTTAATAATCTTCATCATAAAAATTTTCTATTGTATTATTTATGTACAACAGAATTAAAATGTTTATTATTAAAAATGCTGAAATTTTAATTAAATTAATATTTTATTTCAAAAACCGTATTTTTCTTTTAAATGTTTATGGCCAGTTATTAGTCGAGAATGTTGGACCAATTTATTTATGAATAAAACAGAAAGGAAACAACATCAAGATCACACACGTTAATAGCCAATCGGAGGGTTGGTTTCTTTTTTTATAGTGAAATTGATTTCAATAAAATTAAAAATAATAATAAAATTTATCATAATTATATTTTAAAAATTATTATTATAACTAAAATTAAAAAATTTCACTAAAAAATTTATATTAAATAAATTTCATTAAAATTAATATTTAAATTTTACTTATAATAAGATAAACTCAATCACACTTTTCTGTATTTAATCTCTCAGCCCACCTAAAACAATAGTATTAATTAACTTAATTTCAGTTTTATTTTATTTAATTCACTTCACAGGTGTTGCAGCACACAAAGGAGGAACAGCCAATAATCCTGCATTATCCGACGCGTGTCCTCAATATTCCATCTCTCGACTCCATCGCAAAACAAAATCCACGTTTACAGATCGATCAAAACCCCACCAAAAATATTCCGCTCACTCTCTTTACCACCTTTCGGCGATTAAAGATAAAATAATAATAATCAGTGGTTATACAATCACTTCAAACTCCAGATCTGCTCTAGAGGTAAGTTTAAGAAATCTTCGAGAAAATTAGAGATCGATTCGAGCATTTTTGGAGAAGGAAAGGAGAGGTTAGTTTTGAGTATGGAGGGGAAGCTGATAGAGAGGTTGGAGGCCGCGGTGGCGCGGCTGGAGGCTCTATCGATCAGTGGAGTCTCCGCAAGGGGGTTACCGGATAGCGGTGTTGAGGTGGCTTCGGATCCCTCGATTGTGGCGTTTGACGATCTTATGGCTCAATATGCTGCTAGGGTTTCGGGTGCTGCGGAGAAAATTGGGGGTCAAGTGCTGGATGTGACTAAGATTCTTCTCGAGGCTTTCTCTGTGCAAAAGAAACTTCTTATCGAGATCAAGCAAACTCAGGTTACTATTTTCTTTTTTTTTTCTTTTCCTTTTATTTAATTAAATTTTTGTTGTCTCTATTTTGTTTCATTGAGCTTTTTTTTAATAATTATTTTATTTTGTGATGAATTATGTGGAATTCAGTGAATTACATTCAGGTGTAATGCATTTATAGCGTAAATTTGGTTGTTACGACGATTGTACAAAAGTGGTTTTGGTTTTAGGTGCAATGAGAACATATCTTATTCATTGGATAAATGTCATAGCTTTGATTCCAATCCAGAGAGTGTCCCTTTCGTGTTTGAAATCTGATTATGCTTGTTTCACGGCCTTAAGAAATCATGAGAATTATTGAGCTATATCTTTTTTAGCCATATTTTAACAAATAATATTAGGAGAAGCAGTTTGGTGATAGAGTTTCTAGGAAGCTGTTTGAAAATTTTATAGTAGAGAAAATTAAGATATAGTGGCTTGAGCGTCTGATGTTATGGTTTTCTGAAGAAGTTTGTTTTCGATGATAGGGCAACAATATTGGTCTTCCAGCCGGTATCTGCTTTTTATCCTTATACTCTGCCAGTATCATATTCAGTGGCACTGTCGTGTTCATGAAATTTTGAATGTCTTCCACTCTGTTGGTACAGAAACCTGATATGGCTGGCTTGGCTGAATTTCTCAAACCACTGAATGAAGTGATCATGAAGGCTAATGCTATGACAGAAGGAAGGCGATCTGATTTTTTCAACCACTTGAAGAGTGCTGGGGACAGTCTTACAGCTTTAGCATGGATTGCTTACACTGGAAAAGATTGTGGTATGTGAATGTATGTTGTGGCGTATTTGCACATAGCTATGTTTTCTCAATGAAGTGGCCAGTTTGCTTAATGAAATGACTCAAGTGTGGGGCGTAGCATTACTCCTAACTTATGTTGAACAAATCAGGAGCCCGATTCACACTATTTGTTTAAAGTGTGGAGTTGTATTCCTTCCTTTATTCAAAGAGTGAATCAGGCTCATGCTTTCAACTAATCACACTTCGGGAATAATTGTGATCTCCACTCATGCTTTTCATGCTTAGGCCTTTAGTAAAAGAATATGAGTGGTGCTGCTACTTGTTGTGTAGGTCATCATATCCACTGAAGGTCTTGCTATTTGTAAATAGCCCTTTTGGAATTTTATATGACACTAGCACATTATCTCCTCCGACTTGCTGTTTGATTCTTGGTAATGCTTTTCTGATTCAAGGTATGAGTATGCCTATCGCACATGTGGAAGAAAGTTGGCAAATGGCCGAATTTTACAACAACAAGGTACTTCTTTATTTGTAGGAAGCCAGCAACTCAAACTGGAAACTGCCATCCACCTTGCGTGTTATCTGTTTCTTTAAAGCTAAGGAAGAAAATTAAGGAACAGCATTGGATGCATAACAAGAATGCTAAATCTTCTTATCAATTCCATATGTTAATGTTAGCTTTTTTCTCTCTTTCTTTTTTTCTTAAAAAAATTGGTCAATGATGTTGTAATTGGTCAGATAAACATCTCTTTTGAAACAATTGATTTTTCCCTGCAAAGATATGATATATATAAATATTACTGAGAAGAAACTTCAATATATTGCAAGTTGTAGTAAGTGGTGATTAACACATTCTGGTTGTATCTTTTTCATCTAAAATTTTCCATTCAATTGATATGATCATAAATATAAGCAAAATGTCTAGTTGGTTGGTATTGAAATATGTATTGTAAATATCAGATTCTTGTAGAGTACAGAAAGAAAGATCAAAACCATGTTGAGTGGGCCAAAGCTTTGAAGGAGCTGTATTTACCAGGTCTGAGGGATTATGTCAAAAGTCATTTTCCTCTTGGCCCGGTATGGAATGCTTCTGGTAAAACAGCGTCTAGTGCTCCTTTGAAAGCTCCTCCACCAGGTGCCCCTGTGCCTCCTCCACCTCCACCTGCTTCTCTTTTCAGCTCAGAAGCTTCTCAACCTTCTTCATCACGTCCAAAACAAGGGATGGCAGCTGTTTTCCAAGAAATCAATACTGGGAATGTTACTGCTGGTAATCCTCTTTTCTCTCCCTTTCTTCTGATTTCCTGTCTATCTTTTCTGTCGATATTGAGCAACTATGATCTGATTATCTTGATGTCTAGGCCTGAAGAAGGTTACTGCTGATAAGAAGACAAAGAACCGTACAGATAGAACAGGCATTGTTAGTGCCAGTGAAGAGGACACTCGTTCCAGCTCCTCTTCTTTCTCAAAAGTTGGACCACCGAAACTAGAGCTGCAAATGGGTCGTAAGTAAGTGTGCATGATTTCTGTATACTTGTTTAAATTTTATTTAGGTGGTTAGTAATGGTATTTGATTTGTTGAGTCTCTTACTTGTAACATTGGCAGGTGGGTCGTTGAGAACCAAATTGGGAGAAAGAACTTAGTTATTGATGACTGTGATGCCAAACAGTCTGTATATGTTTTTGGATGCAAAGATTCTGTTTTGCAGATTCAGGGTAAGTTTATTATACCATATGCATGATTTTTTTTTCACACTGCACTGTACTTTATTTACATGTGTAATTGTTTGCTTTGGCACTGTGAGACTTTTTGTTATTTGAAAAAGATGACTGTTGAAAAATCATGAGCAACATGGTGGCGTTGTGATATTATGCAGGGAAAGTCAACAATATAACAATTGACAAATGCACTAAGATGGGAGTGGTTTTTAAGGTTAGTAGGACAAAGACCTACTTTAAACATTTATATTTTCAGAAGCAGAAACGTATTCTCATTTATTCCTTTTACTTAAATGGGCAGGATGTTGTGGCTGCTTGTGAGATAGTAAACTGCAATGGTGTTGAGGTGCAATGTCAGGTATTTTTCTTCTTCTTCCTTCGGACATAAATACCTTGAAAGCAAATACTGGCCATGTTATTATATTCCATAACAAATAATGTGCTTTTGTCCCATGTTCTTTGATTGATATTGTTACTATTTACAAGTGCTGTAATTAGCGATTGATACTTTTTGTACTTATGATTATCTACTTTGTGGCTATTTTAGGGTTCTGCTCCAACAATTTCAGTGGACAACACTTCTGGCTGTCAGTTATATTTAAGCAAAGATTCTTTAGGGGCATCTATAACAACAGCCAAGTCAAGTGAGATCAATGTACTAGTACCTGCTGCTGAGTCGGGTGGTGACTGGGTAAGTTTACAAGTTTTTTCCTGTGTTTTTGAACCTTTTGACTTTGAGGTTTTCTTGATTAGCTAAATTCTCCTTCCTCCTGTTTAGAATTCATTTATTTTACTTTTAGAATAGTTGCCTGACCTTAAGGTTGCCATGTCTTATAGAAAGCAATATCTGCAATAGTCATGTGGCCCTAAAAGTTTATTCTGGATACAAGTGGAAAGACAGTTAATAGCATGACTAGGAGTGGAAAATGCTAATTACAATTTAATTATAAAATTGAAGTCTTTATAACAATGGGTTAGCTGGTACATTAGAAAAGTTTTTGTTGGTTGGTTTTATTTTTCAGATTTGATCTTTGTTTTAGTTAGAGTTATTCCTTACAACATGTTATGATCACACACCCTAGAGAATGTAAGACAATAAAAAGAAAATGCTTTTATAACTAAATTCAATTTTAGGCAGGCCTTACTGCTATCTATAAGAATATTTTTGGGGTCTCATATCCATCAGTTTAAAAGAGGTATCTGCCTTTACATTTTTAACCAGACCTTTATTTCTGATAATTTAGGATGTATTAATGTCATATCCTACCTCTATTTGTGCCTGTTGCCGCAGGAAGAAATCTGAAAGCACAAATCAAACATAAACAATGTGATTTCTCTCCTCTAAAATGTTGTACATTAATCTTTAAGTAGTTTAACGGGTTTTATATTCCATTATTTTTCATGTCAATGATAAGTTGCAACCATGTTAATCATGCCTTTCAATTAACTGGAGGATGCTGTTGGTTTATTTTTGTTTACCATGGATGGCTTACCATTTTTTTCCATTGTAGGTGGAGCATTCTTTGCCGCAACAGTATGTCCAGGTATTTAAGGATGGCCAGTTTGAAACTACTCCAGTCTCGCACTCAGGAGGTTAATTGAGGCTTATTTTAATCTACAATTTAGCTTTTTCGTTTTAAACTTTACTCTGGATAACTTTGGGTGATTTTGATTTCTTTTGTACCCTTATTCAATCTCTGTCTATATATTTATGACAACATATCCGCTGGTCATCATCTGGTTTGAATCTCATCCGTTATCTTTTTTTGTTTTTGTTTTCTGGAGATGAGTTGGTGCTTTTTGCAACTATTTATGTTGTAATTGTAACTTTTAAGTTTATAATGTTCTGCCGAACATTTTTCTTTAATGAATTAATATGTGAGTGAGTATACTGTTTTTCTTACATTCACGTTGCTTATTTATTTGGATGTCCTTGAAACAAGGACTCAGGTAATAAAATGTGAAACGTGAAGCGTACTAGGAACTTCGTTAATACTAGGCTAAAATTATTGAGTCCATGCAAAAGGAACAGTAGATTGGTACGCTGGTAGTATTGAGGCTGAAACTGCCTTCTCCAGCTATGTTAACATTATGACAATGCTTAAGCACAGGACTTTACCTTTTTTGGATTCAGTCGACTCTCACACGGTTGGGGTGCACTCGTTTATGACAATGATGTCCTTCCTAGCTCTGGCCCATTTCTATCATTCGATGTGTTTTGTAAAGTGTTATTAAAATCAGCATGTGAATGCTAAGTGCTCTAGGGATTTCTTTTTTAGATTTAGGAGAATGGGATACTTGAATTCAATTATTTGAACGATAATAACATACATCAATCATTCACTCAAATGATGGAGAGAATTTCTTGCGTTCGATAAACCGGAAGGTATGATTTGTAGGTGATGAAAGTGGGCGTGGATCTGAGACATGGTTCATGGGCCTGTCCAAACATGTGCTCCTCCAAATCAACATCAAGTCTCGAGTTTGCTGAATTTGTTTGTATTTGAACATTTGGGAATGGGCTGGAATTTGACGTTAACAATCACAAGTCTGGTCCAATGGGAGATCTCTTTTCAAAAGCGGGGGGAAGCTGCCCGCAACGCAATCCTTCGTTGTTGGCTCAAGTTCTGCACAGGTGATTTACCACATCTTCTATTCCTATACGCACACGGCCGATTCAAATAAACCAAAGCCAGGTACGAAAAAGCGACACTGGTTTCGTCCTCATACAGAGTTGGTGGATTGCTTGCTGCTCCATTTGAGGTTATGGTGTAGTTATAAATTCAAGTCAAGGTAGTGCCACCGCTTGATTTAGGCAAAAGCATATTTTATTTATCTGAGGCATGTCAGCTTTAGGTAGGTTAAAATCAGAACAATAAATAAATGTCGACCTTTTTTTTTTTTTTTAAGTTACTTGATATTCAGTCAACCAGTCCTAATATTGGAATTACGAAACAAAACCATCATACCAACTCCTAAATTTAAAATCGAAAAACATTTTGATCCAACAATTTATCCCTTGATCGAATTAACTACCTCAATTTCACTTTATTTTTTTAAAGTAAAAATTTGACCTGTTTCAATCTGAACCATAATAACCAAAATATAAAGATTAAAGACTAGTTAGTAATTGTTCTAAACTCCCAAAACTACTAAAGTTCTTTATGTAAAATGGTGAATGGAAGGCATGAGTTTCTATTACTAAACCTTCCCTACATTCCTTTCAGACCTCTCCCCAATAAAAAAAGGGAAAAGAGGCGGAAAAACTAACATCACACGAGGGTTGTGACCATGAGTACGAGGATGGAAAACTCGGTTCCACTGTCAGATCCTTCTCTTTTTTTCAATTATTAAATGAAAATTTTTGTTGATGCTCATATTAAAAAAATACATATACATAAAAAAAAAATCACTATCTAAATAATATTATATCAAAAGTATCATGTCAAAGTTATAAATAAAAAATATTATTTGATTAAAAAAAAAAAAATCTCAGTGCAGGCAGTTCAAATGTTAAAAGATTTCCACTTCAGAATCAGAACCAGAACCTGAACCTGAACCTCTAAAGTTTTCCACAACTTTCTAACAGTTGCATTAACTGAGTACTTTGCAACTATACTAATCCAAGATCCAATATTTTTCCAAACACATCCCTTTCTTAGTTTCAAACACTCAGCTTAAGCAATAAACGACACCCACTCATCAGAAAAAAACATTCCCTTTCACATACTCCCTCTCTGACTGTCCCTCTTCCCTGTTATGGCAACTCTCTTCCTCTTCCTCCTCCTCGTCCTCCTCCTCTCCCTTCATTTCTCAAGTAAGTCTCTAACCACCCAAACAACATCGCTTTTCCTTTTCCTCGACCAAGAAAAGAAAACACAGAAGGAAATAGCATCAGTATCAGTTACTTCACTCTCAAGTTTCAGAACCTCAACTTAAATTTTGACTTTCTCTAATGATTTGGGATTTTTTTTTTTTTGTAAATAGGTTCAGAGCCGTTTATTGGAGTGAACTATGGCCAAGTAGCTGACAACTTACCGCCACCATCAGCCACCGCGAAGCTTCTACAATCCACGTTGATAGAGAAGGTTAGGCTATACGGAGCGGATCCAGCGATCATTACAGCTTTAGCCAACACCGGAATTGGAATCGTTATTGGAGCTGGGAATGGAGATATTCCAACTTTGGCCTCGGATCCTAACTCAGCTGCTCAGTGGGTTAACTCCAATGTTTTGCCTTTCTACCCTGCTAGCAACATCATTCTTATCACTGTCGGCAATGAGGTCACTTTCCAAAATCATCATTTGTCCTTTACAGTTTTCCCTTTTCTACGTCTGAAAAGATTAAAAAAGTGATTTTTTAGAAGAGAAAAAGGTTGAAAATTTCTTAAATTTCATTAAAAGTAAGATTTTTTTTTAGTTCATAAGTAAAAATTTTTGTTCTCTTTACAGGTTTTGACTACAAATGACCCGAACCTGATAAACCAGCTTCTGCCGGCGCTGCAAAATGTCCAAAATGCCCTTAACGCGGCCTCGCTCGGTGGAAAGATCAAGGTCTCAACGGTTCATTCAATGGCGGTGTTGTATCAGTCGGACCCACCATCTTCCGGGTTGTTTATCCCGAGTTATCAACCGGCATTGAACGGCTTACTTCAGTTCCAGAAAGACAATGGATCCCCTTTTGCTATTAATCCGTACCCATTTTTCGCTTATCAAAGTGACCCGATACCTGAAACGCTTGCCTTCTGCTTGTTTCAACCTAACGCGGGACGAGTTGACTCGGGAAACGGGATCAAGTACATGAACATGTTCGATGCACAGGTTAGTTATTATTTAATAACTGCTGATGGAATTTTCATTCACGTGCGAACAAAGTACTTCCCTAAAAAATTGTTATGTGAAAAAAAACTGCAATGTTTTTTCTTTTTTTGGTGGGCTGAGCTTAGTTTATTTTGGACCAAGCCCAGTTAAAAGAGATAACCGATAACGTTTATGTCAATTCTGGTTACTGGTCCACGACATTTATGTAGGATGTTGAGGGATTGGATCGCATGAATTCACTTTTTTTGTCGTCGATATGATTAACATTTTGACTTAAACCCACAATTTCTTTTTCCATTCTTTGCCTGATCAAACTGTTTTTTTTTTTTTTAGATCAGGGTGCTTTGTAGATATAAGAAAATCTAATTGATTGCAAGTTAGGTTTATCTAGTACATTTCCTTTAGGAATCAGTTCAAGAAATAACTGGTGACACCCTTAATTAGGTTGAGTTGATTAGTGACTTATAATAGCACTTGTCATTTGATGATTGTTCATTAGTTTGTTGTTTAAGTTTTGCTTTTGATGATAGGCTTCTGTCTTGCTTGTCACGATTTTGATGATTTTTTTATTGCATATGCCACTATATACGAAAGAGTTGGTAGGTTATTTGCTTCATTAACCCTTGTTCTATCACGTTTCCTGGACAGAATCTGTCTTAGAATAAACTTATCCAACTATTGAATTTGTTGCAAAGTTTGATTAAGTTCATTATCTTGTTGCAATTGGCCCAGGGCATAACCTATGAATATAGTAACTTTACAAAAATTCATGTTCCAAACTCAATGAGCGGAAGATCCTGACATTGCACATAAAAATCTGCATTCCGTCGTCATTTCTCCATTAATTGTTAAGATCTGGACCATATTATTTATGAATTTTATTACTATCAGATGCTAAAATGACAAACAATCACTGTAATGCATGTGATATCAGCATTTGTGTGAGAAAAAGCCAATTAGTGATCCCTATTAAGTACTATAATAGACTACTATTGTATCTCTTTAATTTTCTTGGCCTTTTTCATGGAATAATTGGAGGCATTAAGTGTAGTTGATGTGACTTGTGTGCTTGGTGATTGACTGGTCGTTGCAATAATTCTAGGTTAGTTCTTCTAGAATTTCGTTTATGGTTGGATGCAGATGAATACATCATAGAAGTGAACATTTTAAATTCAACTAGGTCCAGAAAAACGTAACCCTCATATACTGGGAAAAAAAATTATATTCTTACCATAATATAGTAGTTTGGCCATTAATTATGAAATTTAAATATTTACGGTTAGTCCTAAATAACTGAAACGTTGCTCTGTTTGAATTTGATCCAGCATGCTAGTTTAGCAGTTGATCCATCAGTTGGAAACTGAGTGTATGCAAATGATTTAATACGATTAGCTCTATGACTTGATTATGATGTGCAGGTCGATGCAGTGCATTCTGCCTTGAGTGCTATGGGGTTCAAGGATGTTGAGATTATGGTTGCTGAGACAGGATGGCCATATAGCGGGGACAGTAATGAAGTTGGACCTAGCATCGAGAATGCCAAAGCCTATAATGGGAATTTGATTGCACATCTGAGATCAATGGTTGGGACTCCATTGATGCCTGGAAAATCTGTGGATACATACCTCTTTGCACTTTACGATGAGGACTTGAAACCAGGTCCTGGTTCTGAACGAGCATTTGGACTTTTCAGGTCTGACCTTTCAATGATATACGATGTTGGGATTTCAAAGAGTGATCAGGTGAGTCAATTAATTTATTTATCTGAACAAAAACAAAAAAAAAAAAAGGTTATCTATAATGGGTGAAGAAACGATTCTTATTCTTGAAGGAGCTTTTTAAAAATTCTTAGTTAGACTAGATTAATTTTAAAATATATTTTAAAATTAAAATTAAATAAAAATATTTTTTATTGATAAAATTAGCTGTAAAAATGCGACATCTTGTTTTCCGTTATTTTTTTTTGCCTTTGAAAAATGATTTTCTTCCACCAAATAAAGGCCTGGGTGAAAGTGTTCGAGAAATTTCCAAACTTTTTGGATTGCATGATCCATTGTAATAGCTGCTACGAGTTTTAAGGACATACAAGAAGGCTACTGGAATTCCTGAATGGTATTATTTGTCTGGTAATTGACATTCTTCCCTGCTTTTTCATTGCTCCAGACTCCATCGTCTCCACAAAATCCAGTGACTCCACAACCAATACCAACTGCAAATTGTTGGTGTGTGACTGTGGGAAAACACTTATTTACAGCTGATTGTAATCTTGTAATCTGTATATTTATATTTGTATTTCTAGAATTAAGTATTTGTATCTCTAAAATTAGGATAGACAATCCCTCAATTATAGGATTAGTTTTTTATGAAGATTTAATTTTCTAGTTTAACCTCTAGTTAGTTGTATATAAACCTAAGATTCTTGTATAATTCTCAATAAACAGTTTTTCAATATACATTCAGTTTTCACATGGTATCAGAGCTTTAGGCTCTTCTTGAGAAGCAAAATTTTCAGCCTTCATTGTTGACTTCTATTTTAGGCCTTCATTGTCGAATCCTGTTTAAGCCTTCATTGTCGAACCCTTTTAAAGAAAGATATCACTACCACTTAATTTGAGGAAATGTCAACTGAAAAAATCACTGGAGTACTACAGATATATCAAAAACAAGGAGAGTTCGACATGGAAAAGATTGAAAAACTTATTAAAAATCCTTGAAAAGCTTACTGTGGTATGTTTTTTGGATAAGGTTTCTAGTTCAGGTAAAGCTTCCGGTTCTTATGGATTAAATGTTTCAATTAAGCCTATTACGAGTTTTTGGATCATTTACTTAGGAGCTACAGACCATATGACATTCTTCACAAAAGTTTAGTACATATAACCTGTGTCCTAGTAATAAGAAAATTGTTATTGCAGATGGTTCACTTACTATAGTGGCAAGATTAGGAGATATTCAAGTTAATCCCTCATTTGTTCTAAAAAATGTTCATGTTCCTGAATTGTCTACTAATTTGATATCTATACAAAAACTTACCAGAGATATGAATTGTAAAGTAACTTTTTATCCTTCTTATTGTGAATTTCAGGATCAGAGTTCGAAAAAGATGATTAGACTTGCTAAGGAGAAGGATGGACTATACTATTTTGAGACATCAAATAACACAAGTAATATTAAGAATAGTTTACCTTTGTCATTTCTTTCTGAAAAATCTTTTAATAAAGATAAAATCTGACTTTATCATTTTCATCTTGGACATCTTTCTTTTAGAACTTTGAGAAACATGTTTCCTTCTTTGTTCAAAGGATTAAATGTCGAAGATTTTCATTGTGATATTTGCGAACTTGCAAAGCATAGACGTGTGTCTTTTCTAATCAGTAACAAAAGAAGTTCTACTCCTTTTTACTTGATTCATAGTAACATTTGGGGTCTCTTTACAATTCTTAGTATTTCTGGTGTGAGATGATTTGTTTCATTCATAAATGATTGTACCAGAGTCTCTTGAATTTTTTTACTTAAATCCAAATTAGATGTGAATAGTATATTTTTAAGCTTTCAAAACATGATCCAAAATCAATTTGGAGTGAGAATCAAGAGATTTAGGTCTGATAATGCAAGAGACTACTTCAACCAGAGTCTATCCACATATTTCCAAAAAAAAAAGATTATCCATGAGTCATCTTGTGTTAATACTCCACAGCAGAATGGAGTGACAGAGAGAAAAAACAGCCATTTACTAGTCACAACCCGAGCTTTTCTTTTTCAAGCAAATGTACTTAAATCTTACTGGAAGGAAGCTGTTCTCACTGCCACACACATTATAAATAGGTTACCTTCAAGAGTTTTGAGATTTAAAACTCTTATGGAACTACTCTCACAATTTTATCCCAACCTCAATACCACAAACAATCTCACACTTAGGATATTTGGTTATACATCATTTGTTTATGTTCACAGTCATAACAGGGAAAAGTTGGATCCAAGAGCCATTAAGTATATTTTTGTAGGGTATTCTTCAACTCAAAAAGGATATAAGTGTTATCATCCTCCTATCAAAAAATTTTATGTGTCTACAGATGTCACTTTTGAAGAAAATAAATTATTTTTTACTCAACCTTATCTTCAGGGGAAGACTTCATTCATGGAAGATAAGGATAAAGATTTTTTTTTGCTTGATTTACCTTTTTCTTCAACATTTACACCCATTAATTCTTCTGAGTCGAAACCTGTTTCTGCTGAGCCCAAGTCAAACACTGAATTTGAGTCTAAACCCATTCCAAATACGGAAGATGTGACAAAGGATAATATTATTCTTGATTTTATGAAGGAATTACAGGTGTACTCAAGAAGAAAAGTTTCAGATCCTGAACTAGTGCCAGTCCAAGAATCTGATCCTAACTCTGGAAATGAGGTAACTACAGTTTTGACTCTGTTTCTCAAAATGAGCACGAATCTCTTAAAACTATAACTAGTGATTATGATCTGCCTATTGTCATTAGGAAAGGAAACAGAGAATGTACCAAGCATCCACTGTACCCAATCTCTAATTTTGTGTCATTTAAAAAATTTTCACCATCTCATAAAAATTTTCTTGTGAGCCTAAACACTATTTCTGTTTCAACTACATTATTCGAGGCATTATCCAGTGAGAAATGGAGGTGCCTTTTGTAGGATAAAATCGTGAGGTCAGGGGGGCCAGAGCGAACAATACCTCACAATGGTGTGAACCGTGGTAGGATGGCTGATCTAGGACGTCGGATGAGTGGATGCCCGGGTCTCGGAGCCGGCGGGTTCAAAGCTTAAGTCTCGACTCGTGACAATTGGTATCAGAGCCAAAGGCTGATATTTCTGATACTGAATTGCAATCAAGTTTAGACTATGCCTGTGGCCAAGGCATTGACTACAGTCCAATCCAACCATGAGGTGCCTGTTTCGAACCAAATACCGTAGCATCACATGCTGCTTATGCCATGAACCTTTACTACCAGACTTTTGCCAAGAATCCATGAAATTGTGACTTCTCGCAGAAGGCAACACTAATATCCCAAAATCCTAGTAAATATCTTCATTTCAGCTATATCTCAGTTCTATAAAATTTATCTTTTACATAAAAAGTTGGTCATTTTATAGTTCCCATCGTCACATCATTTTTGTCAAGCTTAGATTTGTTGGTAAGCAAATGAATAAAGTGTTCACATAAGGAAATGGACTTTTATTTAAGATTATGCTTTAATAAGGGGTTTTATCTTTAACATTTCAAAATGTTCTCCTTTTGGGTTAAACGTCCATTTGGAATATGAAGATTATGAAATTCTAATTTTGTGGTTTATGACTGTAGACATCGATTTTGTCCGGGTCTACTATTTTAATTTTAATGATAATATTATTAATAATAATAATATTTAAAAATAATTATTAATTATCTAAAAATATTTATAAAAAAAACAAAAAGTAGGGTGGATGGTGCTGCTGTCGCCCTCGACCAGTCACCTTACAACCCTCTGACCAGCCCCCTGTCTACCCACGCTCACCCGCCTACAGCCACCCGACCAGCCACCCTACAGTCTCCTTGGAGTCCTTTAAAACCCACAGCCTTTTTCATTTTAAGCCTCTCTCGAATCCCCTTCAACCTCTCTGAAAACCCATTTCCAAAAACTCTTATACCAAGAAAGTACCTCTTTCGAAAAACCTTCGAACAGATCCACGCCAAACCTCCTACCCATCAAAAAACCAAACAGCCAGACCACAAAAAAAAAAAAATAGAACCACAAAAATCAACACAAAAAATCATAAAAAAGAAACCACAGTCCTCGCCGAATCGACGAGGAACCCAGCGCCAAGTAGATACCTGCAACAAAAAAGAAAAGGTCATTAGTTTGAACTTTTCAAAAAAAAAAAAGAACAGAAAACTTTGAACCCCGATTCACGTCGATCGAGGTCGTTTGCAGTGAATAAGAGATCGAATCTGGGAAGATCTTGTTGAAAGGAGCTTCTGGAAAAATTTTGGTAATTTTTTGGCCACCGGCGACCATCGTCGATGACGACCGGTGCGGTGCTCCGACGGTCGAACGGCGAGACTGTCGAGCTCTCCCCCCAGAGCTCTCTCTCTCTCTATCTCCCTTTTTTTTCTGAAAACAGAAACCAAATGAACAAAAAAAAAATTTGGTTATATATAAAGGATTAAGAAGCAAAACGACGTCGTTTTAGGGGAAGAGGATCCGCGCGTTAACCCGGATCCGACCCGAGATTCGCGCAAACTGACCCGTCAACCCGTTTCAACCAACCTCAAATCGATCCAAAAGAACCTCAGTGAACCAGTCTGAACCGGTCTGAACCACTGGACCACCCGAACCGCTGATTGAACCGCAGAACTGGTCAGACCAGTGTTGATCGGATCGTTGACCGATCCGGTTCAGGTAAAAAAAAAATTTTTTTTTAATTTTTGAATTATTTTATATTATTATTTTTGTTATTTTAAGTATTTTTTTTATTGATGCATGATAAATTCTTAAATTTGATGGAATAAATGTTTAATTGTTTAAATAATAATAAAATTAAAAACAAATAATAGTTAAAAATATATTAAAAACGTTCAAAAAAAATATTTATTATTATTATTATTATTTTTGCCTAGATGTTGGAGGGAATAAAAATATTTTTCTAAAAAAAAAAAATAATTTCACCTAGATGTTGGAGAATTATTATAATTAAATTTTCATAAAAAAAAAAACACATAAGAAATTTTTAATTAGTTTTCAAAAATTATAAAAAATTGAACATGCTCCGAAAGTTCGCCTAGATGATGGAGATTTTTAGAGATGTTCGTGTTTTATTTAAACCTTAAACACTAATTTTTAATTTTCAAAATCTTAAGTTTTTAAAACCCCTAAAAATTCGAAACCTCATAAAATCCGAAACTCCTAAAATCCAAAACCCTCAAAAATCCAAAATCCCCAAACCTTTAAACTCTTAAATCCAAACCTCAAAATCCAAAATCCTTAAAATCCAAACTCTTAAATCAAAATCCCAAACCACAAAACCCAAACCCTAAAATCTCTAAACTCTAAAATCAAAACCCTAAACCTTTCATATCCTAAAATTCAAGCCTTAAAACCCTCTAAACCTTAAAACCAAACCTTCAAAATCTTTACTCAAGCCCTTACTCAAAACCTCTTAAAAATCCTAAGAACACGTGTGAAAATTTCATCTGAAGCAATTTGTTCCTGAATGTCGCCTAGATGATGGGGTATTTAGAAAATCTTACTTCGTTAAGTCTTTTCACACGATTTCTTAATTCGCATTAATAATAAAATTAATGAATAAAAAGTATAATAAAAAAATTGGGATCTTAAATATAAACAGTCGTACCTAAGCTCTGCCTAGATGTTGGAGAGTCGGGGTGGTCTCATTATACTTAAGAGCCCAACTATTAAATTGCATTTCATTTCTCATGACATTCATTAGTATACATACGTTAGCATCTTATTATCAATAATTGTCTACATTATTTTATCTTTAATTTACTATTTGATAATAAAATATTTATAATAAAAAGAATAATACTTTAAAAAAAATTTTGGTGATATTATAAAATAAAATAAAAATAACATTTCGAAAGAAATAATTTTTAGTACTCTGCCTAGATGTTGGAGAGTCACTAACAATTATTTTCTATAAAGATTGTTATTTCATTTTAAGGATTATTGTGTTGAATCTTAAGCAAAAAGAGTTATTTTAAATTTTACCTAGATGTTGAAGAATTTTAAGATAATTCTTTAACTTAAAGATTTTTTTAATATTTTTAAATAAAAATTTTAGCAAAATATTTTTAAAACGAAGGGAATTAATATTAAATTTCAAGTCAAAATCATTATTATCCAACACCGAAAATAGTGCGTAATTAAATGGTACCAATTTATGGACGTTGTGGGGGTGCTAATCCTTCCCCATGCGTAACTGACTCTCGGACCCAACCTGATTTTTCGTAGATCGAAATTTATTTTTTTGATAAACTTTAAACCCGTTTTTATAGTTTTATTAAAAAGATAAACTTTTGGGTGGTCAATCTCACCCTAACAAAGATTGGTGGCGACTCCTTTTATTTTTCTCGATTTTAAAACTCATTCACGTCTGACGGTCTCAAAATCGTTACAACAGCTTGGCGACTCCACTGGGGACTTATTTGAGAGTCAGGCCAAAATTTTAATTATGCGCTATTGACAATGGTTGGATTTAATTGATTTTATTTGATATTTAATTTAATTATTTTATTTTATTTTTTGAAAATATTCATGTTAATAAATAAAATAAATTATGTGTTAGTTATTACTTTATTTTGATTTTTTTTTTGTTATGATTTATTCATGTTATTTTGATTAATACATTACCTTGCACACACTTTGCATATTAACTCGCATGCATGAGCTCTATTCCCAAGCTCTATCTTTTTTAGGAGGAAGTGAAGTAACTACACTCTCGTGAGGTGATAACCTCCGCATTTGCTAGCAAAACACTTCCACTCAGATTGAACCATTTTCGTTAATAACCCATAATGGGCAAGGATCGAGAAATCTTACTAGTCTATAATAAGCGATGATGTGAGGAATAGTCTGGGAACCTTTAGACATACAAATCCTAACCCAGCATATCGTGAGCCATAGGAAGCCTGCCTAGGATAGAGCCATGCCACCTTTTTAGAAAATTACCAAAAATTAGACATTATACGTTATATTATTTTGTTGTATGGTTATTATATTATTTCTCTTACTTGTTTGTTTTGAATTCTTGAGTCATTTTATTTTATTTTATTTTATATATATTCTTTGATTGTGTGCATTATATTTGAATATGTGGTATTTATTTTAGGTCAATCATTGAAAAAAAAAGGCAAAAGAACATTTTCAAAGATTAAGGATTTTTCTTAAATTCTTTGTTTATTGGCCGAATAAAGACTAATTTTCAAG